GAGCCAAGCACTGAGTTTATTGATATTTTTTTTGGTTAGCTCTCCTGCAACTGATCTTTTTTAGAGAAGAGGAAAAAGATCACCTAGATAATAATGATAATAAATAACTTTTTATTGCTTTTTGAGTCAAAATCTCCTCAAATAAGAATAAAAGAAAATATCTTGTCCACAGTCCTGCTCACATGCTAATTTTTCTCAGAAAGATTATTTTTCTTCTGTGGAAAAATGCTTTAACTTAAAAACTAAATCCTTTTTCGTCCTGAGTTTTCGACGGAACTTTCAAAGGTTTTGGGACTGAACAGATTACTGTTCCGAGATTTTTTTAGCAATTATTTTATATCATACCATCCGCCTTGGCAAACTACCAGTTCCATTTGAAGAAACGTGATCCCAGGTCATTATCCTACCACTGCCATGTTTTACTGCAGTGATCTTTTTGTGATTTGTAGTGTTGTTTCTGTGCACTCCTTTGTTCAGCACATAAGGGATATGACAGAATGTTGTTACATATAGAAAATGACCAGTAATACAGAAATTACTGGAACTTCTTCATCACAACTTTTTTGATTCTTATTTCCAGTTCAAACAGATATCAGTCAGACAAAAAATTATTTTTTTTATAATTCATTTTTATTTAGGATTAGCCAACGTTTCTTCTACATCTCAAAATATGATATTGTCTGTCTTTATTTGTACAACTTTCAAATAAGAACCACTAGAGGGAGCTGTAATACCCCTTGTGAAACCACCAATCAGTGTGCCACATTTTACTCTGTGTGGTCTATGTATGTGTTGGTACCTTATTTGTGTAAATCAGATGATGTCAAATGGTGTGGGATGTCACCTGCTGCATGATGAGGTTAAATTGGTGAGCATAGCAGTGGACATGGTGTGCATTAGCATAGACATCCTTGATCATTTTCTGTACATCACCTGTAACACCTCTCATGACACTTGCACCATCGTAAGCTTGGGAAATGAGCTTGCTTCTCTGGTCATCAGGGAGAATGGAACCGAGCCTATCCAGAAGTGTTGTGGCGATGTCTTTCAAACCGCTGTCTGTGCCTATTGGCCAACGCTCTGACCAATGAGCGCAACTGACTGTAACGTAGGAAGAGCGACAGAAAGATGGTGGGGGAGTGTGAACAAACAGCGTGTCGGTGAAATGGTGAATACGTCCTTCTTAAAAACAAATGAACGTAGAGCCTCTTCCTGCTCATGTTTCAATGAAAACCCCAAATCTAATCCTTCTAAAACTGATTCCAAAGTTGAGTCAAATGAGAGCTGTTCAATAGTTGTTGCCATCTCCCTTGTGCTTTCTCCAGCGTTGCACAGCTTTGTCGTCCCGCCCTCAAAACCCCGCCCGTTTTGCATATAAAAATTCAAAATGCATCTCTGTTGTGATTGGAGCATTGATCGAGGCTAGACCACTGGCAGGCAAAAATGATTTTGGCCGATGGCGGGTGGGGCTAGTTTACTAGGCTAGCTACCTAATATATTTATTAGACTTTACAAATCACAAACCAATATCTCGAAAAAAAACTGTGTTGTTGTTTTGTTTTTTTTTTCATTCCCCTAGCTGTGGTTGCCGTTGGTAACCATTAAATAACTATTGACAGCTGGCTTATTTAAATTCAGGATGCCATTCATGTGGTGCTTTGCATGAACTATTTCTGGTTCAATGTGGGCGTGAAGTGGGTGAGTTGGAGCTTTGGATACAAACTTTAAGGCACAGCTTTGATCTATAAATGTCACATGGTTGGTTTTGTACGTGCACATCGTTTTCTAGGTTAGGATTTTCTTGACACGTTCTATTTTTAGGTGTTTGCAGTACTCTTTTGGTAGGGTAAATATTCCATCCAATGTCTATTTAAGCCATGTTTTCTGATCCGCCCTGACTGGTTGGTGCATTAAAAACATCACAGCTAGCCATCCCAAAACAGTCAAACTACAAAGGCTTTATTGAAATATAAATGCATACTTTTCTTCCAGTTATTATCTTCAAAGCATTACATTTTACTTCTTGTTTTTCCATTTTAACATTGCTGCTGTAATAATTAGGATTCCTGAGGCGTCTTAACTGTTGCTCTATTGTTGTTTTCATATGGTGGTCAGATTATGTGGTTGACTTGGTGATCATGGGGAGCTGTAGCCAAAGATAATCATCTTTTGACAAATTTGAGCAGAAGTCATTTTTTGGTGCAGATACAATGATAAGACGGAATGAATACTGGTAAAATTTCACTTTTCTTAAAATCTTGCTCTATGATTTACATGATGTGGTATTTCCATTACTCTGCTCTAAAAAAATATTTGGTGCAGATATGGACTGAGCTTACTTTTGGAAAATTATACTTTATCTCTTAGACAGTGAGTAGTGTTTAACTAAAGTAAAACAGCTGACCACAAGTATAACTAAATACATATAATAGGACCTAAAATCAAAAACTGCCAGTTATGGAAATTATCTTAGTCTTTAATTACAATAGAATAACTTAGAGATATTTTAAATGAGCAGAACAGGATATAAAACTGTTGTTGCTCACAGAACAATCTAGCAAGAGCCTTTCAAAAATAGGTTCTGAAATATTGAGGACAGGGTGGAGAATGACAATAGAAACACTTAATTTTGCTGATTGGAAATGTGAAAGTAAGACTAAATATAATGCATACAGAGCTAAATTTAAAATCTATGAATTACACAGGAAAAAGGGGCCTAATACATAAAATAAAGTATAATCCCAAAATGTGCAGATGATAGAACACAATAACTAAGTATGAAACTAATCACAAAGAAATTAAATATTATTGAAAGTCTATATATAGAAAAAGTGAAAAAAGCAAGGTTTTACTGGCAATTATACACAACCCAGAATGATCAGAACACACACAGAAAAGGAAAATCAAAACACAATCACCTGTGGATCATGAAAAAAATATTCTGCAAATTCTTACAATTTATACTATTATATGTATCTAATAGTCTAGACCACCAACACAACATTAAAGGTGCTCAAACTTGCAGATGAAGAAATATTGTGCTCACATCATTTAGATATTTTTCACCTCATTACAATAGGTGATTTGCATGGCAGCAAACTATATATCGGTTATTAGCATTACTATACAACTAATAATAAAAAGTAGGTTTCAACCTAAAAAAAAAAGCAATCAGGTTTCTTATTTCTTAGTTTATAATTCTTTCTTCTCCTTTTTGAAGGCTTTCCCATCAGGCTGCTCTCTCCACCTTAGGGTAACTCCACTCACTCCGTTCTTCTGCAGTTTGTCTTGGAGCTGTAGGATAATTTGAACACATAAAACATAGATGCTTTAATCTGAGATTAGATTTAAGTATTCATTGAGCACTAAAACAGCCTTAATTCTAAACTTGCCCTTTTTAGGATGTGTCCTCTTAGAACAGGGTCATTCAGATCCACAGAGTCCTTTGCATGAAGTCTGAGCCTCACTACCTGTTTTACAACTAATTAAAAATAAGAGATTTTTCATTATAGAAAGTGCCAACAAAAACTGTACATGTTGCTTTATTGACTTAATTAGTAGTTGTTTTTCTTCCCTTTTTTTCCCCCACTTTCACTTGCCAATTCAATTTCCCTAAGAGGCAGATTAGGCTTCCAGGACTTAGCAGACCAAGACTCCTGTCTTCAACTGCCACCCAGATAAT